ATGTGGTATATATGGAAGCTCTGTTATAACACTTAAAAGATATATATTATGAATATACTTATAGAGCTCTGGTATAACACTTAAGATATAATGTAGTATACTTATGGAAGCTCTGGTATAACACTTTTATAATGTATAAACTCTGGTATAACACTTAAGATAATGTGGTATACTTATGGAAGCTCTGGTATAACACTATATAATGTGGTATACTTATGGAAGCTCTGGTATAACATAAGATATAATGGTATACTTATGGAAATATCTGGTATAACACTTAAGATATAATGTGGTATATACTTATGGGCTCTGGTACTTAAGATATAATGTGGTATACTTATGGAAGCTCTGGTATAACATAGAATCTCTAATGTGGTATACTTATGGAAGCAGGTATAACACTTAAGATATAATGTGGTATATACTTATAGGCTCTGGTATAACACTTTATAATGTGGTATATACTTATGGAAAGCTTTCTGAACAACTTACTTAAGATATAATATGTGAACATACTTATGGAAGCTCTGGTATAACATAAGATATAATGTGGTATACTTATGGAAGCTCTGGTATAACACTTTATAATGTGGTATACTTATGGGAGCTCTGCATTGTAACACTTAAGATATAATGTGAAACACTTATGGAAACTGTTATAACACTTAAGATATAATGACTCTTATGGGCCTCTGGTATAACACTTAAGATATAATGTGGTATACTTATGGAAGCTCTGGTATAACACTTAAGATATAATGTAGTATACTTATACAAAACTCTGTTATAACACTTAAGATATAATGTGTTATACTTATGGAAAACTCTGGTATAACACTTTATAATGTAGTACATACTTATGGAAGCTTCTGGTATAACACTTAAAGATATAATGTAGGTATACTTATAGAATAACACTTAAGATATAATGTAAGGTATACTTATGGAAACTCTGGTATAACATAAGATATATAATGTGTTATACTTATGGAAACTTTCTGGTATAACACTTTATAATGTGGTATATATGGAAGCTCTGAACATAACACTTAAGATATAATGTGGTATATACTTATGGAAAACTCTGGTATAACACTTGAATATAATGCTGTAGTAGCATACTTATGGAAGCTCTGAGTAACACTATATAATGTATTTATACTTAGGCGCTTCTGGTATAACACTATGTGGTATACTTATGGGAAGCTCTGGTATAACATAAGATATATGTGGTATACTTATGGAAACTGTTATAACTATATAATGTGGTATACTTATGGAAGCTCTGGTATAACACTTGGAGATAATGTGGTATACTTATGGGAAGCATCCTGGTGCATAACACTTTAGATATACTTATGGGCATCTCAGTATAACACTTTATAATGTGGTATACTTATGGAAGCTCTGGTATAACTTGCAGATATAATCATGGTATACTTGACTCTGTTATAACACTTAAGATATAATGTGGTAGCACTTGTGGGCTGAGGCACTAACATGTGGGCCTTATGGAAGCTCTGGTATAACCTTTATAATGTGGTATACTTATGGGAAACTCTGTGCTTTATAATGTGAGCATATATGGAAGCTCTGTTATAACACTTAAGATATAATGTGGTATCACTTATGGAGCTCTGATATAACCAGAATATAATGTGGTATACTTATGGAAGCTCTGGTATAACACTTAAGATATAATGTGTTATATGGAAACTCTGGTATAACACTTTATAATGTGGTATATATGGAAGCTCTAGTATAACATAAATATAATAATGATATATGGAAAGCTCTGGTATAACACTTAAGATATAATGTAGTATACTTGGAAGCTCTGGTATAACATAGATATAATGTGTTATACTTATGAGCTCTGGTATAATGTGACATACTTGGGCTCTGGTATAACACTTAAGATATAATGTGTATGGAAGCTCTGGTATAACATAAAGATATAATGTGGTATGCTTATGGAAGCTCTGGTATAACATAAAGATGTAATGTGTGTATGAAACTCTGGTATAACACTTTAAGATATAATGTGTATACTTATGGAAACTCTGGTATAACACTTTATAATGTGGTATACTTATGGAAAGCTCTGGTATAACACTTTAGATATAATATGGTATACTTATAGAGCTCTGGTATAACACTTTATAATGTGGTATATAAAACTTTCTGGTATAACATAAGATATAATGTGGTATACTTATGGAAGCTCTGGTATAACACTTAAGATATAATGTAGTATACTTATGGAAGCTCTGGTATAACACTATATATAATGTAGTATATATATATGGGCTCTGGTATATACTTAGATATAATGTGTTATACTTATGAGAAGCTCTGGTAACTTTATAATGTGGTATACTTATAGGCTCAGTATAACACTTAAGATATAATATGGTATACTTATGGAAGCTCTGGTATAACACTATATAATGTGAGTATGCTGGAAGCTCTGGGGTATAACACTTTATAATGTAATACTTATGGAAGCTCTGTGTAACACTTTATAATGTGAGTATATATGGAAACTCTGGTATAACACTTAAGATATAATGTGTTATACTTATAGGAAGCTCTGGTATAACACTTTATAATGTGAGTATACTTATGATCTGGTATAACACTTAAGATATAATGTGGTATACTTATGGAAGCTCTGGTATAACATAGATATAATGTAGTATACTTATGGAAGCTCTGGTATAACATAAGATATAATGTGTTATACTTATGGAAACTCTGGTATAACGCTTTATAATGTGGTATACTTATGGAAGCTCTGGTATAACACTTAAGATATATGTGGTATACTTATGGAAGCTGTTACTTACTTAAGATATAATGTAGGTATACTTATGGAAGCTCTGTTATAACACTTTATAATGTATACTTATGGAAACTCTGGTATAACACTTAAGATTGTGTTATACTTATAGAACTCTGGTATAACACTTTATAATGTGGGCTATACTTGTAGGCTTCCTGGTATAACTTATAGATATAATGTGGTATACTTATGGAAGCTCTGATATATACTTAGAATATAATGTGGTATACTTATGGAAGCTCTGGTATAACACTAGAATATAATGTGTTATACTTATGGAAACTTTCTGGTATAACACTTTTATAATGTAGATATATACTTATGAAATACAATTATAACACTTAAGATATAATGTGGTACATATACTTATGGAAGCTCTGGTATAACACTTAAGATATAATGTGAGCATATATGAGCTCTGGTATAACTTACTTAGATATAATGCTTCAGAGTATACTTATGGAAGCTCTGGTATAACACTTTATAATGTGGTATACTTATAGAAGCTCTGGTATAACACTTAAAATATAATGTGTTATACTTATGAAACTCTGGTATAACTTTTATAATGTGGTATACTTATAAAACTCTGTATAACATAGATATATTAATGGTATACTTATGAACTCAGTATAACACTTAAGATATAATGTGGTACATACTTATGGAAACTCTGGTATAACCTTAAGATATAATAATTTTTGTAGTAGGAAGCTCTGTTATAACACTTAAGATATATTGTGATATACTTAATAAGAGCTTCCTGGTATAACACTTAAGATATAATGTGGTATGCTTACTAGAGCCTCTGGTATAACACTTAAGATATAATGTGGTATACTTATGAGCTGGTATAACACTTAAGATATAATGTGGTATACTTATGGGCTCTGATAACACTTAAGATATAATGTGAGTATACTTATGGAAACTCTGGTATAACACTTTATAATGTGGTATACTTATGGAAGCTCAGTATAACATATAATGTGGTATACTTATGGAAAGCTCTGTTATAACTTAAGATATATTATGTATGGAGAAGCTCTGTTACTCTTAGATATAATGTTTTATATATATGAGCTCCTGGTATAACACTTTATAATGTGGTATACTTATGGAAGCTCTGGTATAACACTTTATATTATACTTATGGAAGCTCTGGTATAACACTTAAGATATAATGTGGTATACTTATGGAAGCTCTGGTATAACACTATATAATGTGGTATACTTATGGAAGCTCTGGTATAACACTTTATAATGTGGTATACTTATGGAAGCTCTGGTATAACACTTAAGATATAATGTGGTATACTTATGGAAGCTCTGGTATAACACTTAAGATATAATGTGGTATACTTATGGAAGCTCTGGTATAACACTTTAGGAACAGATATACTGTTATGTGTTATACCTGTACAGCGCCCCGCCCCCCTCCCCTCCCCCTAAGTTCGTGGATCTTTATTTAACGATCCTCTATTATTCACGGATGACACCCTGGATGTACCCAAGAATTTCTAAGGGTAGTTTTAAAGTTGCCGGCATTTTCACGGCTGGGAGAGGGAACCATTTGTTCTTGAGACAGAAATTTCCTTTACCTGTATTGTATACAGTATATGTAACATACAAATATATAATAATGGGAAACTCCTCTCAAAAATAATTAGAAACAAATGTATTAAAAATTGAGTCTACCCTCCCGTCCACTTTGTGCTTTATAAATAACAAAGCACGGAGTGGACTTGAGGGTAGACTCACACATTGTTACTACCTTTGTTTCTGATTATTTGTGAGAGTATTTTCCCATTATTATTTCTTTGTACTGTATATTATGTTTTGTGTGTGTGTACCTACACACACACACACACACATATTTACAATACAAGTAAAATAAATATTTGTCCTAAGGGCAAACACAATGTGAATATACTACACTTCTTTGTACACAAAGAAAAATGTAACACGCTCCCCGGTCAGCAAATGATATTCGCGGATTTGGCGACTCGTGGCCATTTTGAGAACCTAACCCCCACAAATTTGGGAGCCCCTGTACTGGACTTATAGGAGCTCTGTTATAACACTTGAGGTGACACACATCTATGGGAAACAAGTATCTATTCAGGTCTATCAAATTGGGTCTGTCGTCATCATCTAATCTTCACGAGGCCTAAAGACTGCAAGCTATCAACCAACTCACCTCATACTCAGTGTCCGGCAGCATATTCAACAACAAACACACCAGCTTTTGCGGAAACTCAAACTTGACCGTCCAGAAGACTATTTCGTCTAAAAACGTCTTGTGTATTAACGGCCCGTTTAGCGTCGCCACATCTGTAAAAGTAAACAGGAAAATATATTAAGGTCAATATTAAAACATACTTTACTGTACCATCACAACTTTGAGGCAAATTATCTACTGACCTTTTGATAATTTTAATAATAATCCAAATTTTTGGGTAAATGTGGAGGAGGAGGAGGAAGAAGAGGAAGGAGGAAGAAGAGGTAGGAAAGGAAGAAGAGGAGGAAAAGGGGAAGAAGAAGAGGGAAGAGGAGGAGGGATGAGGGAAGAGGAGGAAAGGGGGAAGAGGAGAAGGAAAGGGGGAAGAAGAGGGGGAGAGGATAATGATAATGAGGTGAGAGGAAAAGAGAGAAGAGGAGGGAAAAAGGGGAGATGATAGAAGAGGAAGAGATGGAGAGAAGGAAGGAGATGAGAAAAGGAGAGAAAAGAGAAGAGAAAGATGAAAACATAAGAAAAGAAAGAGAGAGAAGAAGAAGAAGAAGAGAGGGAGATGAATGTCAGAATGAACACTGTGACTCCTGTTGTCTCGGAGGGTTAGCAAAAGCCTTCGTCCGTTGTGTCATATTTTCTCAACACAATTTTGTATAGTAACTTTACTCAGTATTTATGTAGGAGACAAATATATGTTACAACTTCATCTAACTACTGTAGTTCTGTATCTATCATCATGCTGTATTATTTAGTCCTTGCTATTATGTATCACTTTGTAATTTTATTTAATCTGTACGTCAACAAAGTGCCGAGATGAGCAAGTTTCAAGTATAATAAATAGTTATAGAATATTTTATTTTGCCTACGACTTTACCCCCACAGCAGTGATAACCTAACCTAATCTAATCTAACCTAACCTAAAAGTAACCTCACCTAACTTTAACCTTATCTAACATGACCTTATCCTAACCTTGGCCTACCCTAACCTAAACCTATCCTAACCCTAACCTTACCTTGATATCCAGGAGGCACTTCACCAAAGGGAATACTGTTGAGAGCTTCCTCGTACAACCTCCCACTCTGTAATAGATATTCTCGGTTGGAGTGGTTACACGTTGTCTGGGTCAGTTCGCGGTAAACCTGTAAGAAAACAAACAAAGGTAAGACTTTAGGGTTGTATTAATCAGCGACGAGGAAGGATAAGTGGCCCTACAACCAGCACCTGACGTTCAACATGATGGGAGGAATCTTTTCGTAAACTACACCAAAGGTTAAATGTACATACAGTCAATTGGTCATGTGAAGATACAATATATAACATTTTGTAGAAGTTGGGAATACATGAAAATACAAAATATATACAGTACAGTATTATATAATGATGGTACTGTACATACTAATACTGTACTGTACACCCATCTCTCTACACAGTAATTACAAATGAAAGGTTTATCAATACAGTACAATGATTAAAGTTTATGGAAATTGACCAACGTACAATACATCATTTTATAAACAATTAACACAATATAGACCTCAGCAGTATTATACAGTATACCTAAATACTGCATGTATAAATGTCAGCACTTATTATACAGTACATTAATTACTTTTAAAACCTAAAAGAGACAACTGAACAAACACACTGACGCACACAAAGTTGAACGAATCCTACTAACTGTAATTTTCATACAAGACAAAAAAGCTCACACAACACTACCACAACACTCACACAACACTACCACAACACTACCACTGTACCACAAAACTACCACAACACTACCACAACACTCACACAACACTCACACAACACTACCACTGTACCACAACACTCACGCAACCTCTCACACCTTTACATAACAAGAGAGAGACAAACAACATTGTACTGTACTTACAATTGGGTTACATAGAGACTTGGTCATGGTCTTTCTCATAGCAGCTCCCAGGCGACTCAGGTCCTGCAGGAGGTCTAGGAACAAAGAGGACTCCTCCATCGCCTCTAATACTTGGTCTAAGGACTCCGGGCTGTGAGCAAGTACAGTAGAGGATAAGTGTGACCTAATAGCAACAGCAGCAGTACAAAACTTTGGCTCAAGTGAAGATTTAAACCCCCACCCCACCCTAATGCCTCCTGTAGGGGTTAGGGTAGGTTAGTGTAGAGTAGACTAATGATGGGTAGGTTAGTTTAGTGATGGGAAGGTTAGTTTAATGATGGGTAGGTTAGTTTAGTGGTGGGTAGGTTAGTTTAGTGGTGGGTAGGTTAGTTTAGTGATGGGTAGGTTAGTTTAGTGATGGGTAGGTTAGTTTAGTGATGGGTAGGTTAGTTTAGTGTTAGGTAGGTTGTTAAGTTAAGTTAGTTTAGCATTGGTTAGGTTAGGTCAGCATTAATTAGGTTAGGTTAAAATTGAGGTGTTTTAACATAAGGTGAAATAATCTGGGTTACCTCACCTCAACATGAACCCAAATGTCATAAAAAATATAATGAATACTCTATGTACTTATATAAACTAAACCAAGACTTATAATACAACAATATATCCCACACCACCTCTACTATTACACTACACACACTTATAATGACACCATATAAACATAACTATTAACAAACTACTGTACTGTACCTACATCTGTCCTGCCAACTCACAATAGATTACCTCGTCCATGGTCTATTACTGCCCTCACTCAGGTCATCACCACACATCTCTATAACATCACGCTCTGTAATGTTCTCCGGTGTGTTAATGTGTTCACTTGTTATAATATCCACTAGAACTGTCCATAGTGTGTGTTCTGTAAGCTCTTTCATAACTGTACATATGATACACTTAATCTAACCCTACTGGAAATAAGCAGCTATGTCGACTATCCTTGGTCAAGTTGCCTTACTGTTTACCTGTACCGTCTCAGCACACAGGTAACAGTATACTCCCAGTAGATTCACACATTTTTACTACCTTTGTTTCTGATTATTTGTGAAAGTACTTCCTAAGGACACACACACACAAAGTGAATACTGTATACACTTCTTTGAACACAAGTAAAAAATGTACCCCCCCCCCACCCCCCGTCAGCAAATGTTATTCGCGGATTTGGCAATTTGCAGCCATTTTGAGAACCCAATCTCCGCAAAATTAAAGGACTTGCTGTACCTGCATGGTTTATATACTGTACAATACATGCTTATCTAATTAGAACCCTCTATGACAACTTTACTGAATTATTATTATTATTATTATTATTATTATATGTATTAGTAACTGCAGCAGTAGTACTGTATTCTTTTTTCTGTTCCTTGTACATCCTCATTTTACTGACCATATCCACATGTTTTTCCACTAAAATATATCAACTTACATTAACAATTCTCCTACTTGCCTGAGTTATAAACTTCAGTATTTAACAAAGAGCTCCATCCCTGAGTTATACACTTCAGTATTTAACAAAGAGCTCCATCCCTGAGTTATACACTTCAGTATTTAACAAAGAGCTCCATCCCTGAGTTATACACTTCAGTATTTAACAAAGAGCTCCATCCCTGAGTTATACACTTCAGTATTTAACAAAGAGCTCCATCCCTGAGTTATACACTTCAGTATTTAACAAAGAGCTCCATCCCTGAGTTATACACTTCAGTATTTAACAAAGAGCTCCATCCCTGAGTTATACACTTCAGTATTTAACAAAGAGCTCCATCCCTGAGTTATACACTTCAGTATTTAACAAAGAGCTCCATCCCTGAGTTATACACTTCAGTATTTAACAAAGAGCTCCATCCCTGAGTTATACACTTCAGTATTTAACAAAGAGCTCCATCCCTGAGTTATACACTTCAGTATTTAACAAAGAGCTCCATCCCTGAGTTATACACTTCAGTATTTAACAAAGAGCTCCATCCCTGAGTTATAAACTACAGACGTTAACTAACTAATTACCATAAACCCTCTGTCGATTAAATTTCCTCCCAAACTACCTAAAAGTACAGTAGTCATATTCTCCAGTGTGTTCAGTACAGTACTGTACACACACACACACACACACACACACACACACACACACACACACACACACACACACACACACACACACGTCCTTAACACAGTGTCCACTTACCTATGTTCTCGACAGTGTTGTATAAAGCGTAGAAAAATTCTGGGCATAAGGGCATCTGCGATTGCTAAAAGATCCGGTGGAACTTCCGGCTTATTTAATTGTGCTTGTGACCCGTGACGATGACAAAAACTGTCGAGAGAAAATACTGGCGATGATAAACTACAATAATGAGATTTTAATTGGATAAAAAGTAATAATGGATGAAAACACAGATTGAAAATATTTCAGTTGTATTACGAGCTAATAAACGTGGAAAAAGTACAATGTAAAGATTTCGGTCGGATAAAATACCAATACCCGTAATCATAAAAATCGACCACAATAAATACAGCACCATACCCCGACTCCTTCATGACAGCAGAGTTGCCACAGTCACACGCACCACCAGCCTGTGACCGAAACATGTTGAAGTCGTGACCCTCGTGGTTTCCCTCCTGTCAATGGTTTAACACTATTAAAACATGTACTGGACCTGTTGTACTTGTATGATAATGATACAATTAAAACAACAGTAACGTGACAACTGAAATAAGTGAGCTTTGACCTTTACTGTTCTGATTGGTTGTGACCTTGGTTGTTATATGACCTTGGCTACTATACGACCCTGACCTGGCACCAAAAATAGATGGTTTCAACAATAAAGAACAAAAATCACTAGACCCAGGTCACCAAACAAGGGCACATTATACACACGGTTCATAGCCTCACCTGAAAGCACTGAGCACAGAGACTCATACAGGGTGATATACCACAGGTTCGACAGCGGTAGGCCACAAAGTTTGCCGTCCACACCAGCCCACACGTCGTCGCGTTGTCATACCGACGAACTGAAATAAGTAATGGTTTGGGTTAATGTGTGTGGGGGGCGATAATGATAGATGTTGAGATGAAATATCTTTAGTGTATTTAAATTAATGTTGTTGTAATAAAAATAATAATAATAATAATAATAATAATAATAATAATAATAATAATAATAATAATACCTGTAATACCAGTAACAATAATGATAATTAAAAAATATATACTGTATATAGTACTGTATAATATAATAATAATAATAATAATATTAATAATAATATTAATAACTGGTCTACCTAAACAAGTATAATTTAAAGGAGTCATTAGCCTCCAGACTACAAGATGTGTAGTGTGGTGCAATCCGGTCCAGTCTGTGCGACTGAGCAGCCCTTTCAAGGAGCCACTCTGCTCACCCCACATGGGGAGGGGTCTAGAAAAGGTGGCCTAAAGATCCAACCTGACTGGGCAACCGCACCCAGTAAGGTCATCCTTATGCGGTCGAAAACACAATCAAAATCACAGATCCAAACAAAAACAAACTATACAACCTCTTATGGTCGCTGCATGGAATGTCAGGACCCTTCTGGATATCTGGCACAAATGAGCGTCCTGAAAGAAGAACCACCCTTGTGGCAAAAGAGCTGGCTAGGTATAACATCGACATAGCAGCCATTATGGAGTCCCAGCTCACAGATGAGGGTCTACTCACAGACTGGGGGTCTGGCTGTACCTTCTTCTGGAAGGGTAAGCCTGCTGTGGAGAGAAACCCCATTTGTGGAGTTGGCTTTGCCATCCGCCAATGCATCCGACACAGGCTAACTGAAATGCCTGTTGGGATCAAATGAGCGCCTTATGACGCTCAGAGTCTCACTGAATCAATCACGTCATGCCTTCTTCATCAGTGCATATGACTCAACACTGGATGCAGAGGATGACATCAAGGAGGCCTTTTATGCTGACCTTGACAGAGTGCTAACCTCTATCCCCAGAGAAGATAAGGCTGTGCTCCTTGGTGACTTCAATGCCAGAGTTGGTAGAGATGCTGACATTTGGCAGGGAACCACAGGGAGAAATGGACTAGGCAAGTGTAATCCCAACGGCCTACTCCTCAGCAAGTGTGCTGCACACAACCTCACTATTACCAATACCTTGTTTAGGCAGGCTGACAAGTTCAAGGGTTCATGGTAACACCCACAATCCAAACACTGGCATCTCATTGACTACATCATTGTCAGAGATCGCCGAGATGTCCTCACCACCCGTGCCATGCATGGCAACAAGCCTTCAGAAGGGGTTTTAACACTAGCGTCCGGAGGATCCAGCAGCAGCACATGCTTTCATAGAGCAGCTCGAACATGGATTGATAAACAACCCAACAACAAACAACCCAAATCCCAGTGAAGAATGAGATATTCTCGACACTGTCATGACAAAAACCTGCAGAGACCCTCGGCCAGGTCGAAAGAATACACCAGGACTGGTTTGATAAAAATGACCCGGAAATCAATGTAGACATCGATGTTAAACATGCTACTTTAACTGACTGGCTGAACAACCCTCAGTCTCGGACCAAAGCTGATACCTTCCACAAGAAGAAAGCAGCGATCCAGTATGAACTTCGCAAACTAGAGAGCGACTGGTTTAAAAATTAAGCATGTAAAATGCAAAAACTTGCAGAACAACACAAGTTGCGTGAAATTTTCAATTCCACTAAAACATTCTATGGGCCATTCACTCATGGCACAGCCCCCCTCCGCTCCTCCGACGGTAACTCCCTAATTAAAGACGATGAAGGCATCCTTCAGCACTGGAAAGAACACTACCACTGTTCAACCGAAACACTGATGTGGATGTCCTGACTACCCAGCAGGTCCCTCAGCATCCAGAGCTGACCCACCTCAGCTATCCTCCATCCCTGGATGAGGTAAATAAGGCCTCAGGGTCTGATGGAATCCCAGCCAAGGTGCATAAAGGAGGAGGACCTCTGCTTACCAGCCGTCTCCACTCTCTCCTGGAGAATATACGGGAAAAGGAGGAAATCCCTCAAGCTCTTAAAGACGCTATCCATCCAGCTTAAAGGTACTACCCTCTCTAATGTTTCCCACTTTCAGTATCTCGGCTCCCACCTGTCCACCACCACAGACATCGATGAAGAGATTCAACACTGGATGAGATGTGCATCTCAAGCCTTTGGCAGACTCCGTACCCATGTCCTCAGCTGTAGGGAGCTGAAATTATCTACAAAGTTACACGTATATCGAGCAGTTGTCTTCTCCACCCTGCTATATGGCAGCGAAACATGGGTCACATACAGGAGGCACCTCAAGGCACTTGAAAACTTTCACCAACGTAGTCTACGTTCCATTCTCCGAGTTCGCTGGGAAGACAAGAAAACGAATGTCAGTATTCGTGCGACACCAACTGTAAAAGCATCGAGGCGACCATTATCCATGAACAACTACGTTGGACTGGCCATGTTACCCGCATGGAAAACAGTAGACCGCCAAAGCAGCTATTTTACAGTCACCTAACGAATAGTAAACATAACGCTGGCGGGCAACTGAAGAGGTATAAGGATAGTCTTAAGACAAACCTGAATAAGTGCCAAATCGACTCCCTCACCTGGGAGACGATCACTCCACACCGTAACACTTGGATGAGCACCACACGAGAAGGTGTCTATACGTTCAAGTTAGCCCGACTGCATACCGAGGCAGACAAGTGCCAACACCAGAAAGACGCTGCCACCGCCCCTCCCGCACTAGCTGTAGCCCTCCACATGTGCAACATCTGTGGACGACCCTGGCGGTCCCGTATCGGCCTCTTTAGTCACCTCAGAGCTCACCAACGAAGGTGACATCCTTAATAACTCTTATCATTGTATCATAGCTGGATGATCGTTATACTAGATTCCAAGTGACAGCACTGTAGTAGTAGTGATGTAGTACCTCAGTATAACACCTTGACCATGTACGAGTGTATCTTTGTCCAGCCCTGAACGATAACCTGTGAAATTGTTTAATGTTTGGTGAGGATGACGACGTGTAATGGTTGTTGGAGAGTGGCAATGACCAAGAGACTAGCGGTGGTGGTGGTGGTCGTGGTGGTCCCCAGCAGGTAGTTCCGTGCCCTGAGGGGTGGCAGTACACAAGCCATCAACCACCACCAGTTAATGACATAACTATCACAATTACCATCCTCTTCCTTCTACTCCTCTTCCTTCTACTCCTCTTCCTTCTACTCCTCCTCCTTCTACTCCGCCTCCTCCTCCTTCTACTCCTCCTCCTTCTACTACTCCTCCGCTCCCCCCTCTCCTCCTCCTCCTCCCCAAGATGCCTTTGTGTGTGGAGGGATGTAGAACGACAGAGTCACCTCCACACCCCATAGCCCTCACCTACACCCCTCTTCACCACACACACACACACACACACACACACACACACACACACACACACACACACACACACACACACACACACACACACACACACACACACACACACACACACACACACCACACCAGGTGGAGCTTTTAATTAACACGTCGTTTCAGGTATCCAAGACCACGAAAAGTGAGAAATGTAACGTCAAATTTTTTCTTAAGGAGTTTTCTGCCCTTGCGTCCCCCCCCCACTCACGCCCTCCCGTCACAAGGATAAATTATTGGTTACCGAGAACTGTCGAGAAGGTGAAGGAAGTGTAGGTCACCTGGCAGGGAGGCGACACACACTATATATATCTATTACACCAACCACAACAAACTCACTTACTTTGAACATAATAAGGAACTGTTCTGTATTACAATTCCTTTATAAACATTGTCTGAACAAGAGGTAGTTAGCTAGATGGTTGATAATGTGAGGCATCTTTATACAGACAGAAGACCACGACACATCTTCCCATCATTACACACACACACACACACACTACTACGACTGTACTTTGCTGTCACTCGGAATCTAGTATGACGATCATCCAGCTATGATACAATGATACGAGTTATTAAGGATGTCACCTTCGTTGGTAAGTTCTGAGGTGACTAAAGAGGCCAATACGGGACCGGCAGAGTCGATCACAGATGTTGCACATGTGGAGGGCTACAACTAGTGCGGGAGGGGCGGCGGCAGCGTCTTTCCGGTGTTGGTGCTTGTCTACCTCGGTATGCAGTCGGGCTAACTCGAAAGTATTGACACCTTGTGTGGTGCTCCTCCAAGCGTTACGGTGTGGAGTAATAGTCTCCCAGGTGAGGGGGTCCATTTGGCACTTTTTCAGGTTTGTCTTAAGACTATCCTTAGACCTTTTCAGTTGCCCGCCAGCGTTACGTTTACTATTCGTTAGGTGACTGTAAAGTAGCGGCTTTGGCAGTCTACTGTCGTCCATGCGGGTAACATGGCCAGTCCAGCATAGTTGTTCATGGATAATGGTCGCCTCGATGCTCCTACAGTTGGTGTTAGCAAGAATACTGGCAGTTGTTCTCTTGCCCTCCCCCCACACAAAAGGGGAAAATAACAGACCGCCACAAGAAGACAGAATCGTGAACGAAGAAAGAGAGACAGACCCACGAGAGACAGGTGTTGACGCCATAGACGGGGTCCCAGCACCATAACAGAGGTGACAGTTCCTCGCCCTGCAGTACCTCCCTCTTGCAACACTGTATGATGGCTCACATGCTTCTGGCGACGCGTTGGATTTGATATTTTTAATACATTCCTACTAGTTAATTTAATAATACTGACTATATTAATAATTTTGTTGAAGACTTTTTAAGTTATAGACACTTTGAGGTGTTGTTATTAAAGTGTTATTAAAAGTTTATTCAGTTAAATCGGGCACAGGGCATTTATTTTAGCTTTTCTTGATCGTTGTTGGTATGCGTGGCTCTGTGGCCCAGGAGGGTTGGTATGCGTGGCTCTGTGGCCCGGGAGGGTTGGTATGCGTGGCTCTGTGGCCCAGGAGGGTTGGTATGCGTGGCTCTGCGGCCCGGGAGGGTTGGTATTCATGGCTCTGCGGCCCGGGAGGGTTGGTA